TACAGATAATCACAATGAGCAAAAGATTGGCACAGACAATAAACATATATAAAGACATGACAATCATAAAATATAAGTACTTAAAAGTTCCAGTGTCAAAGTAGGCACCGAGTGTGAAATATGAAACCTGTGTAGAGTTTATCATGATCGCTCAATTGTACTGTGCACACCAAGCAATAATTATTTTATCTTTGGTTATGGATTTGTAAAAACTTAACTAGCTTCAACTTGGACTTGTATGGCACAATTTTCAAATTAATCATAAAGCACACATGAACAGAAGTCAGTGTAGTGAGGCTAAACAGATTCATTATCATGGAAACAATTGTTAAAAACATCCCTAAATGGACCATTTTCTTTTCAAAGTCACAATAATGTTAACATTTACAAAATAAAGTCTGCGACATTGTGTGAATTTGTGCATTCACCTGTTGTCCTGCTGTAGTCATACTGAGAGTCCTCCCTAACTGAGCAGAAACTCTGCTTCAACTTCTTTTCAACTTTTAAAGACAGCCACACAGCAGAGTGACCTCATTATGCAAGGTCCCAATGATTGATACTCATGTTTAATTAATGTCAGCAAAAAAGGAAACTTTGTATCCTGCTGTTTGTAGTTTCTAACTGCTTGATTCCACCAGGCACGGCTGCATCACATTCATGCAGCATCACGTCCCGCTGTGACGCAACCACCCAAGATAATCACTGCCATCCTAGATTTCTAGCAGAAGCACCACAGCGCATCAGAAAGCTGCAAAGGACAGTGACTTTAGGATGCGTGTGACTGACCACAGCAGCATAGCAGAAACAGCGGCTGTTAGTCAGAGCTAATCAACAGTTGCTGTCGGACTCTGTGTGTTTGAGCCCGCTGGAGATTTTACAGTCACCAGGAGCCCTTTGACAATTGTTTGTAAAAGTTTCTGTGTGGCACCTCTGTTGTAGCTGAGCTAGCGGCTGTGTTGTAGCTAAGCTAGCAACTCAGAGAGGCTCTATGTGTGTGTGTCTGTGGGGGGGCTGTCAGTGTGGGATCAAGGTAAAGATTGCAGTCCGGTGCTAAACCACCATAAACCACTTCATAACTTGTATGAATTATTAAATTAGATAATGTGGATATCAACAGCAGCATTGATGTGTCATATAATTCAGTTTACAGCTAAAAAAAAGCAGATTTCAGTGTGGAAGAGCTCTTTAATACAAACTATAGATGAAATGGTTTGATAGCAGTGTTGACTGTGGTGGTATATGAGGAGATAATGAGGAGAGCGAACAGGAAATCACTTCCATACAGGAAACAGTGTGACGGAACAACATTAAAACATCCAAACTGACTGACACTAATCGTCTCTAATTGTTTTATAATTATCTGTCTGTCTGCGTCTCCCTGCACCTCCCACTCGCTTATTCCCCTGAACACTGACGTCAACTTTCAGGACTTTTCCCCCGAAACGTCCCACGATTCTGAGTTTGTTCATATTGTTTCCCAACAGTACGTTTAACTATTGCACTTCTGTTATACAACATTTATATTTACGTTTTTTACAGTTAAAGGATAAGTCAACTTTTTTCAAGCTCTTTTCAAAACACTATTACATTCCCTGGTCCAAACTGGATAAACAGTCAATGTCTGACAGCTTCTGATAGACAAACACAACGCTAACGCAGGCACAAAGGGGATATGACGCCACTGATTATAGATTATTGATTGAGTCAACTAAATACAGAACATAGCTCTAGAGTTTATACACTGTTTAATAAGGAAATGTTACACATTATAGCTTTAATACTGTGGTGTGCAGTATGTGTCACTGTGGGCTTTACAGACATAACTTACTGCTGAATCGCTCTTTAACATAAACACCTGCTCTGTGTGTTTGTGCACTTTAAACAGGGACAGCAAGAGGGCCGTCCGGGGAGTTACCTGATAAGGTACGATGCTCTCGTGGGCCGTCCCCCAGCGCCTCGCCTCCTTCCCTGCATTCAGATAGTTAGCAGCAATATGGCTGAGACAGGAAACCTGAGAGAGAGAGAGAGAGGTGTTAAATCTGAGCTGTCATCAGTCTCGTTCCTCCCTGCTGCTGTTGGAGGTCGGCGCTCACTCGTGGCTCCTTCCAGAAACAACAAAAACCACAACTCTGCTCTCTCTCCTCCTGATGCTGCAGCCGCAAAACCGCTGGAGAACAAAACCAACGGCTCACCTTCGGCCCCGCACCTTCACTGAATTTACAAGCAGCTGAAAACATGCGGATGGATTTCCACGACTCCTGGCGAACGGATCGGCCTTGAATCTCTTTCCAAGCAAATCCCCATCCTGCGCTGTTTTCATCACAGTGCTGTGGCTGCACCAGCCGTCAGAACACCTCCTGCTGCTCTTAAAAACAACTCCTGACGTACATATCTGCTACTCTGAGTGAAGATGTCCAGTCTCTCTATTTCAGCAACATTTCTCAGGCGTTTCACGCCTCTCAAGTGCTGCTGAAATATCAAACTGGACTTTCATTCATGCTGGAAATGAGAACAAGTTGTTCACACAGACACTACAAACATTAGCAAAAAGACCCTAGGCTCCATTAACCCTTCATAAGCCTCGCCCGTTGTTGCTCTGTGCTCCAATCACAGTTGAGCAAGCCTCGGCCAGAACATTCAACTTCCTCTGTTCCTGTACTTAGATATGCTGTGTGCTACGTTAATTTATATTGAAAAGAAAACCACATTAGATAAAAGTAACACTGATCAGCCCTAACACCCACACACACACAGGAAAGGAAGAAGCTGACCAAGCCTTGCCCAACTGTTATTGGTGCACAGAGCAAAAAGGGGCGGGACTAGATAGAAACATGGTTATTATAGAGCTCACATACTAATCGACCAATGCTGATTACCAAAACACAGGAAATAAATAGCCACAAAATAAAAAGCATGGATCAAAACAAAAACTATATTTCTTAATTCATACAAACAACAATATAAAACAGTTTACAAGCCAAAGGAAACCATGAAAGCAAACAGGTATTCAGCAGGTATTTTTGTGATAATCTGAAGATTTCCACCGCTTTGATGAAACTGCATGTTTAAATGTTTGAGGGTCTTTTTATGGCATATACTCATCGCAATATCAAACAAAGTTATCACAGGTGACAGGTAAGGCTGAGGTTTCCATTTTACAATAAACTATGATCATAATGGACAACAGTGGCCCGGCCGGGAAGGAAAATGAGTGTCAGGCATGACAGCAGGAGACTAACATACTTTCATGTCATATTCAAGCTAATTTCTGAACAGTTTCTGAGTCTGTCAAAGAAAGAAGAAAGCAGAGGAACATGAAGAAAGGGAAACGTATGATTAGAAGGGAAAAGAGGAGCAGCAGAAGATCAGAGGTGGTCATAACGCTTTAAAGGATGTTGACATGACAGAGATGAGACAGACTGACACCCAGATGGGTGGTGCTGTCAATCACCGCTCTGTTTAGAAACTGATAGTATTTAACTCTCAAACCCGCAGCAGGACCTCGTCTCACGCTCTAACTACAGGGTGAACAGCTGAAGGCGAGGGACGCTGGGCCCGCTGAAGGACAGTGCCACCACATGTTAGACCACTCCAACTGTGAATCACCATCACAAACACGAGAACAAAAGAGAGAAATTACAAGAGAACCATGTGGTGAGAAGAAGCATCCACAGGCCGAGTCCAACCTCGACTTTTACATCATTCAGTATCCCTTACTATGTGATCCCTTCGTCATCCTAGGGGAAATAAATCCCATTTCTTTTACATATTTTTTCTGTATCCTTAAATACATGGAAACATTAAAACACAAAAAACAAAATTAAACAAATAACCTGTGAATTTAATTTAATGTAAAATAACATGAAAAATCTGCAACTGCAAATAATAAAATGCATTTTTTAACATAAAAAGATTAAAACACATAATATATTAAAATGTTAAATTGAAGTTTAATACTGTTAATACATTTTTTAAAATGATGTAAAATTAGTGACATTACCAGTAAAAAGTATTAGTTGTGTAATTTTAATGTATTAGTTAGTTAACGACAGATACTTTTAAATTTCTTGGGAAGTTGAATAAATTGTTATTTATCATTGCTGTATTAAGGCATTTGGGTACACTGTCCAGAATACAGTTTTTATCAGGTGTAACAGCAAAATAATCTTACTGGTAATTTCACAGATAAATGCTTTTATTACAGGTTCTTTTTTAAGCGGATTTTCTTGTTATTATTAGCCAGAGTTTTCACCTGCTATTATAGGTCCAATTTCATTTGTTTTCTACATGTTAAATGTATCTTATTGAAACACGGATTTTATTATGCTAACTTAAAGCTAAAAACTACTTAAATGACTGTATTTTTACGAGTTCGTTATTTTGAGTTATTTTACTGTGTTTGTTTGGCTACCAGCTGCTGAAATATTACTGTTTTTCTACTCTTTTTTACAGTGAACTGAAGGGTGATTTAGAATTGGGTATAACCAATGCCGACTCTGTATACCTGCACTACTACACTGGGAATCCTTCGAGCTATTTTGATGCTGTTTTTGGGATCTCAAAATGAACACGTGCTATTATTTGCACATTGAACAATATTTCAAATTCTGTCTTCAAAGAGTCTGGGGAAAAATGTTCACCGGTGACTGCTTCCAAATAACATACAAGAGAGAGTGAGCGTGTGACTGAAGAACTAACTGGACAGCTTACAGAAATGTGAGATTTTCATTCTGTTTTAATAATTGACTTTGTCCAGAGAAAAGACTTCAAGGATGAGAACTAACTTCTTCTGGGTCTTAACTTTCCCAACAGCAATAGCCTGAAATTGTTTCTCATCTCGAAAAAGTTGGTATTTTTCTGCACGACTGAGCCATTTCCTTAACCGACCACAACAATCTGAAGACGGTTCGGTCTGAACTTAAGACTTATGACTCTTCAGCCTTTGGTGTGGAGCTCCTCCTGATGTTTACAGCTGTTTCAGGACCTGCAGGCGGCTTGTAGAGTGTAACTGTGAACTCTGATTGGTTTGTAACCATTAAATTTCCCCTGACAACCAAACCAAACTCAGCTTAAACCCGTCCACAGGGATTCAGATCCACTGCGGCTGTGTGCTCTCATTGTTCATCTCTGGTCGGAGCGCTCCTGTGGTCGACGTGCCTGTGGTCGCAGCACTTCGTACAGGAATGCACCATAGGATGTAGGGAGGGGGGAGAAGTGGATTGTGGGTATTTTATGTGTAGCAGCCCTGGGAGTCGACCGCAGAGATTGAGACCTTGCAGCCTCGATCTATCTATCTATCTATCTGTAATCAGATTTTGTAATTTCCTGGAACAACTAAAATCATAATGATGAATAATAATAATCATGTGTTATCTGTTATAAATATGAACTTATTGTACATAGGTGAACTTACCTATTACACTAATCCTATATTTTGCTGTGGACTGACTCAAAGAATGAGCTTTCACGAGTAATTAACCGAAAATAAACTAATTGAATCAATTTTCTCTATAATTAAAATGATATAGTTGGAGGAAGTTTTCTAACTTCTTCCCCATGATGAGCCCTAACATGGCGACGTCAGAGAGAAGTATGTACAAGAACACTTCAGTCTCCTCCTCTGTGTGTTTTCTCTGTGTGAGGAACATAAAGTTTGGAAATGAGCTGAACCGGTTTGTTTTGCAGCCAATGAACTGAAAAATAAAGAAAATATAAAACATATTTGTAAAAGCAACACTGTCACATCAGCAGCATGTCCCGACACGACAAATCAAACGCACCCTGGGTGTCTGGAATACTTCAGAGTCCAGAACAACATTCGTCTCAGTGTCCCCGACGGTTTTAGGATTACGTATAGTTGGATTTGTTGTGAAACAGGAGAAACCATCATGAAGAAATATTGATTACCCTGTATAAACTGTTCAGACTTGCTTCCATATAAGTCTCCTGGATATCAGCTTCACCACACACACACACACACACACACACACACACACACACACACTTACAAAGCCGCGGTGACACTTCTGCTTATCTCTCCCATCAAAAACACCCCATTGACATGAATAGAATCAGACAGGCAGCGTCAGTAGTATAATTTACCAGCAGAGCCCGAACACAACACCATAATGTCCTATTTAGGCGATACTTCACACAAAGTAAAAAAGAAACCTTTCTGGGAAATTAGTCTTATTTTTTGTCTAAACAGAAAAATAATCTTGTCAAGCATGTTCAGTTGCTGTGATGAGATGTTATGGAAACAACTTGCGATTGGAAAAACGTTGTTCTACCTGTTGTTGTGCAGCGCCCTCTGTTGATGACACATCCGTGATTACAATGGTCTTTTGTCAAAACTGGTAGAAACCAAAATCAAAACCAAGAACCAGAGCTATTTTGGTGGAAAAACAGCATCTGGAGGCAGACCATTAATTTAGCAAAATAGTTGACAAAAACGAAATTGACAAAAAGACCCAACAACTGGCAATCGACTCAGCCAGTCGCAGATAGCAGCCCACCCTTAAAGAACCACTTATACCAACCGATTTGGTCTTCACTGGAAATAACAAGAGATTTAAGAAAGCAAAATAAATATAATTTTAACGTTATACATCATCACAGTCTGATCAGTCTGACAAGTTTCATGATGTCTGGACCAGTGGTCCCCATCCTGAGGGTCAGGACCCCCCCTAGGGGTCACCAAAGCTTCACAGGGGGTTTCCAGGTCTTCTTGATTTTAAGAGGTGTAAGAATACTTTTAAAATAAACACAGTAGGCCTATGTCAGCATTCATCTCTGTAAAGAAAACTAAATGAAAATGATATTTTTAGAGTAATTTTTAGTTTAGATTTAAACTTAAGAACTGACCACAAAATATACTGACAGAGCCTTCACTCCTGTTCTGGTTCTCAACCTTTCTCCTTAACAGACCCTTTTTCTATCAGTGAGTATATAATCAAATCTCTGGTTTTCCACAAACTTCCTGCAGTTATTGTGTTCACAGTTTAGGTTCATTGTTCAGTTTATCAGCTGTTGTCTACTGTTATTGATACTGATCAATAGAATATGAAATATATATTAAATACAGTCAGTTTACTCAGTGACAATAAAGGGCTCCCTTAAGGAAAAACTTCTGTTCTAGACTGAACTAAGATCCAATTAGTTGCTTAGACTGATTGATTAGACAAGATTCGGGACTTTTGTCACACACACACACACACACACAGCTGTTACCTGTGAAGACAGCAGGTTGCAGTCGATATGAACTCCCCTTCCCGTCTTGTGTCGTTGCAACAGGGCGGCCATGACAGCTCCGTGTGCGTACAGCCCCGTCGCCAGGTCTGTCATGGCAACGCCTGGACGCACCGGGTCACCATCCTGCCAGCGGAAGCATTGCATTATGGGAGGAAAGGGTGAGGGTTTTGTTGTTTCAATATTAAAGTGAAAGCTTTACAACAGCATTAAACCTGCACTGTATTTGTTCCTGTTGTGTCCTGTCCCACAGTCCACAGCCCTGTTTCATGTGCATTAACTGAACTGGTTTTGTACTCTCTGGCTAAACCTAATGTGGAAATACTGCCTTCATATCAGACTGAAGACATCACATTCAAAACAAGTTTCAGTTCCACCGTTTTAAAATACTTATTTTTCTATACCTCTATCAGGCCTCTCAGGATCAGTCTTCTTGTGTTAAATGGGATGCTGCCAGTTTGGGCAAGTCTTTCTGGTAAACCCATGAGAGTTGTATCAAAAATTCTTGCCAAAAATGGTGAAAATCAGGAAGGAAAAAATTGTCTTAAATACATCCAGATAATTCATCTACACTTAAAGTTTTATCTGTTCAATTTGTCCTGAAGGTGGCACTATAGATGAAAGCTCACATTAAATCCTAAAGGATCCTCTGGAGGAATGAGATCAGGGCAGTTCATGACAATTGAACATGCTGTTATTTGACGAATAAAAGAGAGACTGAATGAGAATATTAAAATATTTGGAGAGCTTGTACTCGAGTACAATATCCATGGTTCACACTCTTTTTAAGAAATCATCTTCCAGGACCTTTCCAGGACATTTTCCAGGAGTTTTTCTTGACAATACAGGACAGCACTAACTGGTAGATCAGACACATTTAACACTATTTAATTAACAGTTTTATTCCTTGTTTAATAATGCAGGATCATGATGAAGAGTCTCAGGGTCATTACATTACAGGTAGGTGGTCAGCGTTTATGGGACACATTAGCTCGCTTTAATGGTGCCCTCGACTGTCCTTACCACACAGATCTCCAAATTGACTACAGTTTACTATGATCTTCCTGTAAGCGTAACACTGATGACTCAGCTTTGAAAAGATATTTTTGTGTTTAAACCTCCAACAGTTAAATTAAGGTTCAAGGTTACTTTATTTCTACCCATAGGTAGATTTGGTTTACATTAAAAGGCAAACCTCTTAACAAAATAACACAACAGCTCCGACAACAAACATGAATGAACATGTTAAAGGATAAAGGTAAAAGATAAAAGTGCTACAGGTTCTAAAAATCAGGACTTACAAAAATTTAAATAAATACCTACGAGAATAAATAAGGTAAAAATGCAGTAAAATGCAGTAAAAACAAGAAAAACTCTAATCTAATCTGAATGATAACTGCTGGAGCAAAACTTTCACTTTGTTCTACATCTTGGGACTATAAACCTTCATCCAGAAGGAAGAAGCTGAAATTCCCTAGCAGTGTTGTAAACTGAGGGCTGTAATGTTGACTGCTATAAATACAAACACAGATCTCACTGTTTTGGTTGCATGAAAATGTTTACTTTTCCTCAGATATTATGCAGATGATGGTGTGTTCTTTATATTTTTATATTTCCTAAAATTAGATTTTTTTCCCCCTGTAACCCCTGTATTGTGATATGACCACATTCTTGCCAGTACACAGCTCTACATGACGGGCAGCTCATCCTACCAAAAGTCGAGTTTCAACCTAGGGTTAGAGTGATGTGAGTGAGGGGCCAAAATACAATTAAAGATTTCCAAGAAAACGATCGATTATTTCCAGGATATTTAGTAATTTTAATACATTTCCAGGGTTTTGAAAAAAGACTGAAAAACTAGCGTCTAAGTTTTACTTTCTAACTTTCCACGATTGATATTTCAGGTATATTTTTATATTTCTACAATACTGGATAATTCCAAGCACGCACTTAAAGATTTAATATATTCCTTTTTATATCTTTTATAAAAACTCAACATATTGTTAAAAAACAAAGAATAGAGTCTGACCTCTGGCCCGGTGATGTGCATCATCCCTGACACAGCGGAGGCGATGGAGTCGTATCCTGGACTCTGAGACTGAGGACCTGTCTGTCCATAACCTGAACACAAACACACACACACA